GTTATCTTAAAACTCCGGCAAATTTTATGCAATATATGATCACATTGAGGACTTATATTTATTTGTGCTGAACAAACTATATACTTATACTTATAAATGTGTGTAGTATTTATTGATTTCAAAACGACAAATGTGAAATATCCAATAATAACATAATACTAGGGACCTATATGTATAATATAACTACATATGCATGTATAGGCATGTATTAGTCCCTCTGATATTCATATATTAAGCATTGAATGTCTATATTCATATGGCATGTTCACTATGCATGTATATTGATTTCATGTTTATATCCTAAATAATGTATTGAAATATTTCAAGTCTAGGAAAATTTTATGTACGATTTTTCTCATAATTTTTTGAAGGTTTATTAATTATTCCTTATTATATTGAAGGTTAAGCTGCTGTGAATTAGTCCTGTGCATGTGAAAAATGTTTGTGATAATTTTCTGTAATTGCCACTGGAAAGTTAATGTATTTTATGAAATTGCCAAGCATAATTTATTCATAAGAATAAAATGACAGAGGAAATTCGAAATGAATATTTTAAATATCATTAGTGTAAAATACCATAAAAATAAAATGTATAACTGGTAGAAATAAATGTATTTATGTCACAATTACACCAAATTGCTTTATTCTTGGGGATTAAAAATCTTTCTTATAGATATTAAAAACACTCTGTAAATTGAAGACTTCAGAAAGTGTAGAGTTAATTCGGGATTTTTTTTTTCGATAATTTGCCTGATTACCATATCATTTTTACATTATAGATTAATCTCGAACCTTTGAATATTCATCAGACAAAAATCTAAATATTTGACATTGTATGGTCAATTGTAAAAATTGAGATGAAATTTCATGTGAATTCATGAAAACTGGGATTTTTGAGGAAAAAAATATTGAAGAAATCCGGATTAAATGTAATTATTGAGTATAAAGAATTTCATGTTTTTTTCCACCAGTTCATTTCATATTAATTAGTCATCAATGCGCATTTCAACAAACTATGTCTCTTCAGTGATGCTCATGCCGAAAGGTTGAAAATCCAAAACATTTAAATAAAAAATGACTTTGAACAGCTGAAAAAAGGTTCGAAAGACTGGAGCCAAATACGTCGAGGATCAGAGTTCTTACCTTTCGGTTTTTCCTTAATGTTTTCTTTTCTTTCCAACTGACCTTTCAACATTTCCTTATCGCCTGTTTCCGCATTTGCACCTGGAATATTTTAAATATGATTTTATTTCATGATGGAATCTGTGTAAGGCCAAACAAAAAAATATGTGTGGTTCCGGTTACACCTCCAAAAAAATTAGGGTAGGTAGGTAGGGAATTTTTTTTTCTTAATCAAAATGATTTTCTTAATTTTTCTAAGTTTTACCTAATCACTGCTTTGCAAATGGCATTTAGATGTGGTGTGATAATGAACTAGTCAATATTGGTAGGGGACACCTACATGCTAGCTTGCTTTGGATTTAACACTATTAAACACTAGCACTATGTTTTGCAAGGAGGTCGTCATTGCTGAAACTAAAACTTAAACCGGAGCCATTGATGAAAATAGGGGAAAAATCCGGAAAAAATATGAAAATTGCCAAAAAAAAGTTTAGGGTCGGGGGTATAAAATAGGGAAGGTCGGGTAACCGGAACCACACATTTTTTTTTTATTTGGCCTAAGAGAGAAAATTTTTAATAAGAGATCCATTGTCTTAATGGTCACTTTAAATTCACAATGCATGGGGTTTTTTTTCCTACTCTACATGTAAATTAGGGAATAACTATCTCAATTGTTATTTGCGACCGTTAATTCTGCATGATTTAACGGTCCCAAAATGAATTTTACTGGCGACGCGTCAGCGGATCCTGTAAAATGGATGTTTGCGACCGTTAAACCAGCATTGACGGTCGCAAATAACAATATTGAGAAGATAGTCATTCCCATTCTAATGCATTTTATGCATTTTGTTTGATGTTAACGTCTTATTTTGTTGCATTTTTTATATGAAATACGTCATGAAAGGTTGTGTTTTTGCGTCGTTCTATTATGACATCACAATCAAAAGCCTTCTTTCTCCTTAATACTCATTTAACTGCTTCAAACATCAGTCCATTAGCCAATCAAAATGCATTTTACAAAACAATTGCATTGTAGCATCATTTTGGGGGGAAAATAAACGTGATTTTTTCCTGTTTGTTTCAAAATAAATTATTGGTTTTCATCTCTTAGCCAACATTTTAGTCAAAGGAACCATAGTCTCAACAAACAAAAATTTTCATTTTTTATAGACATATTTTGAACTATTATTTCTTTCGTAGGGCAACTCCAAGACCAAACTACTAGTACATGTATTTATTTATCTTTTTTCATAACCAATTTCCCCTGCAAAGGGACTATGATCTTTATTTGAACAAACTTTTATTATTCCAACGAGGCATTGTTCGATGTTTCGTTAATTCGCCCGAAAGTTCTTCTAGAGAAATCCAAAATGTTCAAAAAGATTTGTCCTTATAAAACAGTTATAACAAGAGGCCCATGGGCCTTAACAGTCTCCTTAAAATAATCCGGCCTTGCAAAGGATCAATGAAATAATGATTTAAGTATTATATCTTAAATAAATTGATAGATTAAGACATGTTGCTCAAAAGCAATCGGATTTCAGGATGCAACGGCAGGTGCGATTTTTGTCGTTTATGTATTAAGAATTAGAATTTAAAGAATAATTAAAAATCTGCTGATAAATTTTGTGTCCATTATAAAGACTTGTTACGTTAACCATTGTATTAGAATTCAGTTATTTCGACAGATCACTACACTTCTTGTGAACAAGATGTATAGGCCCTGATATGCGCTTCTACTAAAACGAAGTGCCGCAGGGATGACAAATGCAACTAGAAAGCAAGAAACGCTAAACGAGTTAGCAACCCGCACAACGTCACCGTAATACTATGTTTCTAAATATAAGCGGTTCCAACATATTTTATACACAATTCCCAAACGCTTTCCATCTCGATTTATATGATTGCGCCCATGGGAAAAGGGCCCTTATGGCAATTTTTACACATTTTAAGTTTTTCATGGATATTAATAGAGCAAGGTTAGAAGTTGCCAAATCTGAATTTTTATGGCCCTACGTCAACTCTAAGTAGGTTTTTTCTTTATTTATATCAATGATACTTTAACAGGTAAACAATGACGTCATGTTACTTTCGCACCAACGTCAAAAGTTTTCAGAGTGAACATGACTTTCACTTTGCATTGTAATGTTACTACGGTAATAAATGTATGTTATTGAGCATTTCCAGAAACATTTTTGAGTCATTGTCTCTTTTAATAATTGTATAATATGATAATAAATAGTTGTATTAACTATTATCCATCATGCAGTGGTGTATAGATTATGAGTGTTTGTTCGTTTGTTTTACATTTCACTATGCTGGAATGACAGGAAAACCCGAGAAGCAAGCGGCTTCTGTTCAATATCAATTTATTCTCTCAAAACCAAAGTATTTATCTCGTGTAATAATCGTTTGAGAAACCTGTAGAATTCATTCGAAAATCATCTCATTTTAAGCATGGCTTTCGATAGGACAAGATGTCTTTTTTTTTTTTTGGGGGGGGGGGGGGGTGAATCCAGTATAAACGATATCTCTTTCAAAATGTGAAGTTAAAAAATATTTAAAAAAAAAATCTCGGGAACAACAATAAAATAGATGCTGCTGGGTACTGAAAATCTGTTGTTTTTTGTTCTTGTTTTCTAAATATAATTAGACAGAAAATTTGTGAAATGTAGTGAGTTACTGTATACGCTGTACAACAATTTAAGGACATTAAGTTGATACACTGCATGTTAAGCAATATTTTTTCAAACAAAAAATCAGACCAACTTCTGCCCACATGTGGTAACAAAACTTCTTTTTTTAAATTAAAATGATACACATTTTTTCAGTCACAGCAAGGAAAATTTTTGAATAATTAATTTTAAGTAAGTAGGTTGATAAATTATAAACAAATGGATGAATAATGATTCACATGCATTAATGAAAGGAACAGATCCAGGATGACCAGTAGTTGGATTGTTTGGGGGGGGGATTAAATGTTAAATGACAGAAACATGCAATACTTGTAGTTAACATGAGTTTAATAGCATACGAGGGTTGTTGTATTTTTAAAATCTTCCTACATTTTAGGTGTGCAGGGGGGATGCCTTCCCATCACCAACCCCATAACCTCCAAATACGTCATTTGGTTAGGTTTGAAATAATATTGAAATAATTCCTCAATTTATTTTTGCACCTTGAACTCTCTCCTTACGTACATGTATATGAGCAGGGTCATTTTCAAAACAAACAGCGATCATGAGCTCCACATGCCTGGAACTGGAAACTTAACTGCTATCAAATCTAGTTAATCATGAAAAAAATTGCGTCCTAGAATAACGATTTTGTTTGATTTTGTAAAATTAAATGGTTTTAGAAGAACATGTATACACTGGGTATTAATAGATATCGGGTATTTTATTATCATTTGAACAAATTTTATCCGAACTTTGAATGAAATCAATATGTCATATTTTAAAATTAATATCAAATAGATTTTTCTAAGAAATAAATCATAAATAATTATATATATGTTGTCGTTATAATCAATGACATGCAGATTAATTAATAGAATTTTTTCGGCTGGGGGTGTAAAAATTAATTGAAAGTTTTATATATCCAATCAGTTAAATGCGACTGGTTCATAATATTCCTTGCCTGGCTGAGTTTTTAAATGACAAATTTTTACGATGTGGCACACACTTAGGTACATGTAAATATTGTTAAGTGATGGTGTGTGTAGAATCCCCCCCCCCCCCCAATTTTTCGCGGCTTCTTTATCGTATGAAATTCTAATGTTATTGTTTTCAAATGTTATTGTATATGAAGTTTTACAATATAAGAATTCCATTCTGGCCCCATGCCAGAGACTTGGATATGCTTATCCTTGTAAAGCTTTACAGATACACAGTACTGTAGTTAAGTCCCGGTAATATAAAATGACCCTGGCCCTCTTCCCCGGTCTCCTGCACTGCCACAAAAATAAAAACTTGCAAACATATTCTTAGTCTTTTGTGTAGTATATTTTTAGCATTTGATTTAATTTGTACAATGCATGTTAAAATACAATTTGATCTTAACAAGATTTATTTCAATAAATCCAAATAACAAAATCAGTCCGTTTACATAATTCAAGGGCAAGTTAAGCAATATCATACTAAACCGATAACTGAGATTATTATTTCAATAAGAAAACGAGTTTTAGATTAATAATAGAACTGTAATGACATACAGTGCTGAGATTCTATGAATGACAAGGCTTACATATACATGTATTTGACTTTTAAGTGACTAAAAACTGCAGATAAAGCTAAAACCTTTGAACTTTTTTATGCACAACACGAGTACCAAAATGTTATATTTTCGAGTTACTGAAAATAAATAGACAGCAAAAGAAAAAAAAAGAGATAGAGATTTCTTTTCATAATACGATATTGTTGTGTTTTTGAAAATTCGCCTTTGCATTAAAGTTTCACATTTCACATTGTATAAATAAACTGGATTTAATGTAACATCTCTCTCTCTCCCTTTCTCTCTCCCTCTCTCACACACACATCAGGTATACATACATGTAAACTTTTTTTTTAAGCTAGAACAATTAGAACAATTTTATTTCATTCAGTAGTTTTTGTTTGTTTTCAAGTACTTACATCGGAAGTGGCAACAACAAAAATAATACGAAACAATTTTTTTTAAAATTTCATTTTATTTTATTTAAATTTATGATCATTATTACTGAAAAAAAATTAAAATTCAAGTTATTTTAAAAAATAATTTCATGTTAAAATAAATAGATGCATATGTAACAGATTTAAAAAATAAATGAAAGTCTGGTTCAATGTATCATCTATTTCTTATTCTATATTTTTTTTCTCTTTCACTTTGACAGCAGCTAGTTCCATGAGCTTTCAAAAATACTTTTAAAGAAAATATAAATATAATACATAAAAATTTAAACGTTTTTTAACTGATGATAAGTAAAATTTTTAAAGATATTTTTATACTACGGGAGCAAATTTGTATGAGTATGTTGATTTTGAATGGTTTAAAAAAAAATAAAGTCCCTCTCTGGTACCTCTCTAGTATCTCGCTTGTCAGAGTTACCTCTCTTGTTTTTATTTATAGTTCATAAAAATAATATCCTTTCGTTCGTACTTTTGCTATATTTGTGAAAACTTACAAGAATACTTTTCTTTTCTGTTGGAAGAAGTGTGATCAGTTTCAAATTTTTGGCAATTAAAGCATTTTACGACAAAAATTTATGCACGATGCACCAATGCTTCAATGTTTACATGATCGATGTGTTGAGAATGGTGGGGCGGATCTTATACAGGAAAACGATTTCCTCTGCAATATGTTGATAATATACCCGTGTCTAACAAATAACTTCAATTTGTCTATATATCAAAATCGCATTCGTTCATCCATATTCAATTATCCAGAAAATCACCTTGTCTGAAGCTTCTATACATGTATGGGAAATGCATAGCCCAGATCAGAGAAATATAAAGCTTCAATAACATGTAGTAAAGAAACGGGTCTCGAATAAAATTCTAAATATTTTAATTAATATCAGTGGACTAGAAGATCAAGACGTGAATTAAAGATATAAATGAAAATAAATAATTATTTCAATGTTGAGAACAACGACAAACAGCAAAGGTGAGCTAGACGTGTCAAAACGTAAAACGCGTGAATAAAAAAAATCTGCGTCGACGCTCACCGTCTGCAACGTCATATCTTTATGACGTTATTTCTCTGTTTTAGCAAAATTGCCATAAGGCCCTTTTGTCCTGGGCGCAATCATATTTGGATGCCTTTAATTTAAATTTGTTTCACCAATACAATGTAAAACGATAAAAATAGTTTCTAATTGACAATATCTATGTGGTTTTGGAGACCAAGTCTTCCAACAATCTATTGGAATTCCCATGGGTACCAATTGCCCCCCGTTATCAGAAGACCTATTTTTGTATTCATATGAAGCAGAATTAATTTAAAAACTTTTACGTGAAAAAAAGAAAACACTTGCTGTGGCCTTCAACTCCACATTTAGATATATCGACGACGTATTGTCAATTAACAATGGTTATTTCCATTCTCATGTCGAGACGATGCATCCCAATGAGCTTGAAATAAAAGATATCACAGAGTCTGACACACCTATTTTAATTTCGGATATTTTACGAGAAAACGACGTTAATGGTTATCTAACAACAAAGCTTTATGATAGACGTGATGACTTTAACTTTTCAATTGTCAGCTTCCCTTACTTATGCAGCAATATACCCTTGTCATCTGCATACGGAGTTTATATCTCTCGGTTGATTCGATACGCAAGAGCATGTTCTACGTATGAACAATTTCTAAAACGAGGTAAGTTATTGACAAACAGGTTTATGAAGCAAGAATATAATATAAACAGTCTCATTTCGTAAATTCTACGGTCGATACAATGACCTTGTCAGCAAATACACCCTATTATTAAGTCAAATGCTGACTGACGTTTTTCATACTAATTGTTAGGCCATTATTTACACACTGAATTGTCGACGGATTTTTCTGCTTTTTTCCGAACATAACTAGGAACACACGATGGGTGTGACTGGTCGGCAGGGGATCCTCGATGGCACCTGATCCCACTTCTGATGTTTTGGAGGTCGGTGTTTGCTTTGCTCCTTATTTGTAATGTTTAATGGTCTTTTGAGCTCGAATACTGTTCGTTATCTCCACATATTTCATTTAATATTACTTAAATTTCATTAATATCGATTTAAAAATCGACCGTTCTTATGACGATGAAAACAGCTGAAGTATTTTTGTTTGTCAAATCATAGTATTTTTGTTGTTAGTTGGCCCTTATTGTCTTTAGAAAATAAAATATAATATAAAATTATGTGGCAGGCTCTGTGGAATCTTTTATTTTGAGTTCATAGAAATGTATACTCGAAATATGAATGGAAATAGCTATTTTTAATTAATAAAGCGTCGTCTAAATGTCGAGTCGAGGAGCATAGTCACTGTTTTCACCTTCTCACATAGAAGGTTTTTTTTTAAATAAACTCTGCTTTTATTCAAACAGATTGTTGGAAGACGTGAGGTTCACATTTTTCCTTTATTTTAAAAAGGTAACCACATTTTCAAATTGCCTTGGTCCTTTTCCAAGAAAAAAAAAGATTTTCTGATTTGCTTAGCTTTGTTTGTTTAAACTGCTTTGGTACATAGCTAATAAGATAAATCTATAACTTCAATAATTATGTTGCTTTCTTTGCTTCTCCATATGAGTGAAAAATTCTCGAGAGGGACGTTAAGCAACATACAAACAAAACAAATTGAATGAAATCTGGAGTTAAAGTACAGTAATCAAGCTCAAAAGTCCACTGAAACATTAAAAACCGGGAGCAGAGCACACACGTACCTCAAAAATCATCACAGGTTGACACAGGTGCTATGGAGGAGTAAGTATCTCAAGTCGACCGAGTTAATAATAGAGTTAAGATGGGATTCCGTTATCAGGACAATTGGGATTAATGATGCTCTACCAGTTACAAAGAAAGTTGTGAATATGTATTAGAAAAAATATGTTCAAACCAATTCTTTATTAAGTTTACTTGATAGCGTTTGAAGATTGCTATAGGCACTTACCTCGTGCAATGCGTATAACCTCATTTTCAACTTTAATCCAGTCTACGTTGTACTTCAATAATATTGCTAGTCCGACTGGACCTTTTTCTTTAAGTTTTCGTGCAAACTTTTCTTTCATTGAAACTACAATGATGAAACTTGTTTTAGGACGTAAACCAACCAGTTCAATAAAACTTTCTTCACAACCAACTATATCTGCCACTGTCGCTAACAAGTCGTCAATGTTTGTGAAATTTTGTAAGTCATCTGCAACGTGCAATTGAACGTATTTATATCCGTCTCCTGTCAACAAGAAAAAAAGTATAGTAAGCTATGTTTCTTTATAAGTATACTAAATCAATAAAAAAATATCCTATTATATTGTTGAATAAGACTAATTTTATGATTAATAACGACAACGAGGCTTTTAGAAATCTTTCTATGTGTTCTCCAAGACTTAATTAAATAATCCAGGAAGTTACTTTTTCGAATGAAATGTCTTCTACCTTCAGTTATTTTTGGCTATTTCAGCTTAGGTACATGTATGTACCACAGGAGGTATTAAGCCATGAAATATATTGAACATAATGTATACTAGTACTAATACACTGCATTTTATATGATTTTGGGTACTGTGTACATGAAGAAAGTTTATCGGCTTTCTTAGGTTTTCGTTGATGTTGATCAAAGTGATGTCACAAACATCAATGATTGTCATGTGATAGTTAACAATTAGGAAATGTACAAATTTTGGGATATCCGGATATTTTTCATTTCGAAATTAATAATGAGTTCCTCAAAGCAAAATGTCTCTGCATATAAAATCATTAAAGTGGACATCTTTTTTTTATTCTTCGTGAACTGTATCTGTCAAAATAATACATTTCGATTCAAGTTCGTCATCATTCTTTATGAAACATCAATATTTTGATACAAAATATAGATTAAATAATTTAAGGATAGAACTACAGGTTGTTAGATTAAGCTTACTGCCCATAAACTTTAATACTGTAAAATAACACTTTTTAATGGGGCAAATTTTCGTGGATTAAGAAAAACTTGTGGGGTCGTTGGGATTTCATTTGTGGATGAAGAAGTTTTAAGTAGGTATGTTTATGACATTTTACATTTGTGGTGAACATGAATTCTTTGGCCTCTTCGAAAACAATAAAATGACCCCCACAACCAACGAAAATTATTGATTTCAGAGTATTTACAACTAATGATAATTCTAAATTTCCAACATACGATGTCTCAAAGTAGTCGTTGACGTCATTTCATGCCGATAAATTTCGCCCTAAGGAGGATCTCTACACCTATGAAATATATATGGGTTTTTTTTTTCTTTCTTTTGCGTGCGTTTGTTTCTAATAATGAAATAAAGCACCAGTCTATTGAACATTATTTTTAAAAAAAATATTTAATTCATTTTCCTTTTACATTTTTAAAAGCCTTCTGCTTTTAAATTTTGATAAAAACTTGATAAAAACCGAACAAAGTCAAACTTGAAATCTACATATTTTTTATTTACATACACAAAAAGACAAAAGAAGAACTAAAACAGTATTTTCATGATAAGAGCTGGATGAATTTCCTCCAAAATCTAAAAATAAAAATAAAATCAAAGGATTAAAATGATGGGGGAAAAAGAAATTGAATAAAATGTTTTTTTTTTTTTAAAAAAAAACGTAATTTTAAAGTCACAAAAATCCTGGTGGGAAGGATCCATTTAAAAAGTGAACTCAAATATCTTTGAAATGATTTTTTATACATATATATTTAAATTTATATCTTATAAACATGTACAAGTATTGACAAAGAAAGAATTAATAAGGACACGCCAAATAAGTACATCAAAAGAAGGTCATATTGTATTGTTTTTCAAATGAATATATGAGAAGACACAAATGTTTCTAGTCAAAGACATATGTGGATTTAAGGTATTGATAGATACTAACCTTTTTCATCCAACTTCTGTGTATTATCCTGTGCAACAGATGACTTGCCACGCAAATGGTCAAACGCGAGTAAAATGACGAAATTCCTACTTCTTTCCAAATCTTAACGGTTTTCATACAGAGCAGATGATAAACAACGTTGAACAAACGTTCGAGGTAATGCAATTCCACATATAATCTAAACGTTTTGTTGATTTTATGAAGAATTAAAATTTCACAAAGTGTAACCACACATGCGGGGTGTATATTCTGTTCTGAACAGGGTATATCGCCCAAGCGATATTTAAGTGGTGGACATACCTTTTCTGTCCAAGTTAGCATTTTTAGATATGCATTCGAAAAATGCATTAATTTCTTATAGGACTTTATGGAAATAACTTAGTGGTTTCTATATATAATGATCAAATATCATGACAAAGCTTTAGTTTATAATCAATTTTTAGAATTTATTATAATCATATCTTAGCTTTATAAGTGTGTGTATATATTGTCTGTGAATATAATCATTCACATTTATTGGCAAATCCATGCTTAAAGAAAAGGTAACCTGGTCACTCTCGTAAATTTCCGTTGAATAGAGCACACATCTTTGGTATACCTTGTGATTTATCAGTGTTTAAAGATTTTTTTCAGGACAGAATCTGATCATTTTAGACCAAAATGGCGTGTCGAACGGACACACGCCATGTTTTGACGATGTACAGAGCCTCATTAATTTTATATCTATTTAGAACCTATTTTCACATCTCTTATCTTGTTTTAGGGAAATAAAATTATTTACAAATCATTCTTAAAATCTTATTTTGACAAAGGTTTGTTATAATCTACAACCAGGTGTAGGGAGAAAACCCTCATCTAATTGATTAAGTATACTTTTTTTTTGCTACCTGTAGGTTGTGTTTCCTCAAAGTAACATTGTTTGTTCTTTCTTGCGTATTCCACACATTTGAATTCCAGATCAGGGGGTTTAATGCTTCTTAATAGGTACTGCATCATAATTATATCTTGTTCTTTAAATATTCCCTCGTCGAGAAGAACTGTGAAGAAATCTTCAACTGTCGCTATATTTTCTACAGATACGTCTCTCGATGATATCACTAAAGGCAAAGAAAATCAAACCAATTTAAACGGACGAAAGACATGTCAATATAGAATATTAAACAAGATGTGTTTGTGAAACACTGATGCCCCCGTATGGCACCTTACGGCGAAGGTTGAAATTATCAAATGCTAGTTAAACTCCAATGTCAAGGTCAAGAGGTCAAAACTGTTGGTACCCAAAGGAAGGTCTTCTTACAAGGAATACACCTGTAAAATGTGAAAGCCCTAGCATTAACAATTCAAATGTTATGGTCAAGGTTAAAGTTTTTAAAAAGTGGGCCAAACTCTAAGGTCAAGGTAAAAAAAAAATATATATATTTTATGAAAGGTCTTGTCACAAGAAATACACCTGTGAAATATAGAAAGCCATAGCCCCACCCGATCAAAAGTTATGGACAAGGATTAAGTTTTTGCGGACAAACAGACAAATAGATACACAGGCAAAGAACAGACAGACAGACGGACGGACATTGCAAAGACTATATACCCCCGAATCTTCGATTACGGGGGCATAAAAATGAAATGAACATAAACTTTACTAATCAATGTAACATAATTTGCACTCATATCTTTGTAATTTGATTAAGTCAATTTTGAATTATTTTTATTATTTAATTATTCTTATTATTTAATTACAGGACAGGATTGGACAAAAAGCAAGTAGATTACTCACAAAAGGTGCAACGTCAGATATATAATTAACTTGATTTCATGAATTTGGGTTATATATATATATATATATATATATATATATATATATATATATATATATATATATATATATATATATATATATATATATATATATATGATCAACGACACGAAAAAAAAAAGTTGTCAAATTTTTGGAAGCCCTGTTCCTTTCTCAAGACAAAAAATTATGAATTTTGTAGTTTAGCACCCTATCACTTCTGTACCTGTTTTGCGAAGACCAAATGCAGGAGAAATATATTTTGATTGGAAATTTAAAATTCTAACCATACTCGAACAGTTGAATCATATTAAAGCTTTTTACAGATAACCTGGATACGATGATTAAGTTCAATTTGATTGAAATATCAAAACTACCTTAGTATCAAAGTTTTTACTATAGTAAATTATAGTATACGAGGGTTGTCAGAAAAGTTCGCGGACACATTGATTTACAGAAAATTTATTTTGCACTTTGAAGAATGGCGTACGAGGGGTGATCAAAAAGTTCGCGAACTATCTCTATATTTACAAAACCACAATTCAGATCAGAATAAAATTTGAACACTAAGAGACATTCAAATATTCTATAAAAAGCATATATAATAAAATGTTTTGTTCCATGTTTGTGACGTCACAATGTGAAAATGACGTCAATATGTAGATCATTTGCGAAAAAAAATGGTTGACTCAGTCGTACTCGAGCAACGAACGGCTGTAAGGTTAAACGTATATCTTGGAAATTTTTTTGCAGAAGTACACAATAATTTGTATACGGTTTATGAAAACAAAAGACGTGTCAGAAGTTTAGTCATTAATTGCATTGATTGTTTTAGTGAAGGAAGGGAGATGTTTAAAAGTGATGTTTGTTCTGTTGCCCAGTGAAAGCAAGCTGGGGAAGAGATGTGTTTTGTTTAGCAGTTTGATATGAAAGATCGCCAACTTACAGTTAGAGAAATAGTTCAATATCTTAACAATGGACTTCTGCGAGGAGCGCCGATCTTTACAATTGACGGCTTACTTTTACACTAGGACAATGTACGGAAGCTCTTTTATGGAATAAATATTTAGCACAACATTTAATTCAACGAAAACAAGTATTCTGAGAGTATTGCATTCGCAATACTAGTCCCCTACCGGCAATTGTAATCTTGTTCCCATTAAAAATTGAAAATGCCATAATTCCGTCAAAAATCATTGAAAGGGAACGAAATGCTAATTTGATCTGTAACTCATCAAGACACATTCACATACCAAAAAGCAGCTCAATATCTGCAAGCGTTTAGGGGAAAAAATGCGGAAAACCAAGTGGGACAGTCTGACAGACAGACAGAGGGACAGCTAGACAGACGGACAGACAGACAGACTCAGAGGAAACCTATAGTCCCCTCCGGTTTCACCGGTAGGGGACTAATAACGGATTATTCCAAGACACAAATAAGTTGTCCTTGAAGAAAACGACAACCACCCGGCCTTCACATGTTAGTCAGGGATGGGGTAATTGATAAAAGTAATTGTTATTGAGTGTAACTAGTTACATTTTTCGAAGTACCCGGAAATTGATTTTTCGGAGTAATTGGAAGTAATTTGTAATTGACAATTTTTTTCAATTACTTGTAATTGAATATAATTAATTACAATGAACAAAATACCCTGTAATTTCAATTACTTTTCAATTACATTTCAATTACTTTACCTAATACATAATACACATTATATGTATTTAATCGGGAAATATTTCCAACTGTCACATTTTACAGTTATTGTAATTTATTCAAAGAAGCCCTTCTGGGTTTTTTTTTCTAAATGTAAACTTTAGTATCTCAATAAATGAATTTGATATATTGGCTTGTTTATTAAAAAAAAATATTGTTTTTTTTCTATAATTATAATGCACATACAAAAGTTAATACTAGTTTATTGTTTATCAAAAACTTTGTTCTACCTCTCATTGGTATAGGCATGAAACATTTCAATTATTTTTTGCTTGATTATCAAAAAAGAATAGAAAATAATTTAATGTGTCATTAAGATCTTCCTTGGTGCCCTTCTACTCCCAGCTGTAAATTGCTATCAAAACAACCCTCCAAAAATTTATATAAATTTATACAGTGATTTGTTTAAATTCAAAGTTATGACCATTAGAGGTGATCTATTAAATACTATTAAGAATACTCTGCTTTTTATATACATGTACCTCAGAAATCTGTTTTAACATTTAAACAGATCTTTATATACATTTATGCATTTTGGTATCTTAGAAATAGTTATTACATAAAACTAGTATTATTTGTCAACATTTGCAACTAAAATTGTTTAGCTTGCCTACCTGTAGCTAAAATAACTTGAGAATATTTTATGGTTGATTCATAAACTCTTGAAAATATACTTGTAATAAAATTTGATAAAGGCAGTCAATTAATTGTTAAATGTACATGTAGGACTAGTCGTATGTTGATGAAACACGCAAACATGACAGGCACCTGAGATTATTTATTTTAAATATTCCCATTACCTTAAATTTACATGCATTTGTTCTTCAAAATTTTTGAAAATGAAACAAAAGTAAATGAAATGTATTTAATTACATTCTTCAAAGTAATTGAGAGTAATTAATTATATTTGAAAGAAAATCTATGTAATTGTAATTGCAAGTAATTGACAAAATCTTCAATGTATTTGAAAGTATTTAATTACATTTCAAAGTAATTGACCCCAAAGCTGATGTTAGTGCCCCTAACACCATACTTATGACCACTAAATATGTTTACTTATCTATTGTCAATTCTGTACCTCCATACATGATACAGGTTTAATGTCAAAGTAAACCTTCAACTGTAAAAGTCACTGCTTCTCGCAAATGTCCAATAATATAATTATTAAATCCCTAAAATATCGTTTACTTTAGACTTTAAACATATCAGATATGATTAGAAGGAGGCATCGATACTTTATCCACATTGAATAAACGACGCTCCCAAGACAGAGGAGTTATGATGGTCACCATGCTCATTCTGGAAAATGATATCCTTATCCACCCATACTATTGCCGAGATTTGGCCGTTTCTAACAAATGGACTCTTTTTGTTATTAAAAAATAACTTGCACGGTAAGAATTATAGGAGACGGAAAAAAATCTTTTAGCTTCTGTGAATGCTACAGAGAATATCACGTGACCGCCTAGATCACGTGATTCGGGCATGGGCAGAAAAGTTGCAGATGTGCATTTAAATCGGAGAGGACTACTTTAAAAAAAATTTCAACACTGAAACCCTATATCATTTCTTTTATGGAAGTTATTCAATTAGTTCGCGAACATTTTGATCATCCCTCGTATGTCTGATTAAATGTTCATCTTTTGTTTATTAGTATGAAATATATGAAGACAACGAACAGTATTCAGGATCAAAAGTCCATCAAACAATACAAAATATGAGCAGAGCAAACACGGACCTCCAAACATCAGAGGTGGGATCAGGTGCCATGGAGGAATGAACATCCCCTGCCGACCGGTCACACCCACCGTGTGCTCCTTGTCATGATCGGGAGATAACGGAAAAATCCGTCGACAATTCAGTGTGTAAACAATGGCCTAACAATTTGTATGAAAAACGTCAGTCAGCATTTGACTCAATGATAAATTTTATTTGCTGACAAGGTCATTGTATCGACCATAGAACTTACGAAATGATGACTTTAAACGAGACTGCTGATATTCTTGTTTCATCAACTTGTTTGTCAATAATTTACCTCGTTTTGGAAATTGTACATACGTAGAGAATGCTCTTGCGTATCGAATCAACTGAGAGATATATACCCCGTATGCAGGTGATGAAGGTATATTACTGCATAAGTAAGGGAAGTTGACGATTGAAAAGTTAAAGTCATCACGTTTATCATAAAGCTTGGTTGTTAGATTACCATTAACGTCTTTTTCAAGTAAAATATCCAAATATGAAACAGATGTGTCAGACTCTGTGGTATCTTTTATCTCAAGCTCACCAGGATATATCGTATCGACATACGAATGTAAATAGCCATTGTTAATTGACAATACGTCTTCGATATATCTAAATGTGGAGTTGAAGGCCACAGCAAGTGTTTTTTTTTTCTTTTCACGTAAAAGATTTTGGACAAATTCTGCTTCATATATGTAAGTATGTAAGAAATCCTTTCCATTACTAAAGGTTTGAAAATATACATTGATTTTTACTGTGCGGTCATAGGATTCACGGAGCAATAACTTTACCTCTTTTGGTGACGTGACAACCTGATTCCAAACCTGTTAAGCTTCTTCACAGCTCTA